TTAATTTTAAAGATAGCCTATTGCTCATAGAAAATATTAAATTTAAATTCGAAGGAGAGCGAAGGATAGATTTCGCTAGAACTAAACTTACAAATATTTTGTCAAAAAATTGTGGGTATTCTACATTGAAAAAAATCGATAGTATAATCAACAGCGAAGTAACGGAATGTGACGAAAACGAGGAACTATCAGCTGAAGATTTATCTAGTTTTAAATATGCACCCATTATATCTTATGATGTAAAAAGAAGTTTTTTCAAACACAAAAGTATGCTGCTCTTCGAGATAATCGTAGAAATTTTCAATTCGAAAACTTGAAATCGATTTTTGTTACTTCATACTGGTCCCATAATAATAATTGAATATAAATAGTATAATAATTTCAAATAAAATTTCATAAAAACAGTGTTATTCTGAATTTTAAAATAATAATTTTATGTATAATACTTTAATTAATTTATAATACCATTATACTTACACAATGTCATTAAAAAATGTTATTTTGAATTTTTGTTTTAATAAAGTTTTCTACATATGTATATATATACATAGATTGTGTTATATTTTTGTAAACATTTTGCATATTTTTGCATATCATTTTACCTATTTTTTGCATATTTTGATATGAATCTGCATATTTTATAATCTGCATATAAATCCGAGCCCTAATAATGATAAATGTTTTCATAGTTATATCATACATTTTTTATATGCATTCGACAAAACTCATAAAAATCACGGTCAATTGTAAATTATTTTATTTATTCGTTGTATTTTGTAGAATAATATTAAATGCAAATTTATGAATAACTAATGTTTAACCGACCTACACTCAGAATCGTATTTTGTTTGCAACGCTAAATTCAGGGTTTTACACTAAACAATCCTAATTTATCAACTTCTGAACTATAATCAGTATGACTTTGTTTTTATTTTCTTCTCTTTTTAGCTCTAGACTCCTAATACTCAAAAATTGTAAACAACATAAAAGAATACACATAATGTAAAATAAATAAATAATTATACTCGATACTACACAATCAACTGTGAGTTATTTTTTATAGTTTAATTTATAGTGCTTTTAGAACATTAATCGATGTAGAATTTTCGGCTCAACACTAACCTGCTACAGAAAATAATTAGAATCTATATTCGAATGTATATCTTGATAGTTAATATTATCTAACTATAAATGATGTAATATCATGTTTCATAAGCATTAAGTACCTACATCTTTTTATGTTACTTTTAAAACATCAACAAAAAATTAATCATTTGATATTAGTATTGAATAATATTATTATTTATTTATGTATTATTATTGTCATCCGAGGACCGAGATATAAAGACGAATAAAATATTCAAATATGTGAATTAATTTGAATTAAACCACCTATTGCCTGTTGAATATATAAGTTATATAAGTTTTAAGCTTTATGTTAATATTATGTAGGTATTTATTATTTTAGAAACAAGTTATTGTATAATGTTTTAGCTATAGGTATAGGTACTCGAATAAAATTATTATTTAAATATTCCGGTCGAACTGTCACGTTTCCAGTTTTTGTTGCCATGTGTAACAAATTTTAATAAAACACGTATTTCTAAACGATAAATTATAAAATCTGCAGTTTCTTTATAAATGAAAATTGGGTAGAATATATGTATATAATATTTACATTATATGTAAATTTGCTGGCTAAGTTGGTATATTATATTATAATTCATTAGAAAATATTGTTCAAACAAAATGTGGTCACAAAAATATCATGGGAAAATGAGCTTACTATACAATATACATACATTCATATTGTGTACAATAAAAAACTGATTAATGTTTATTGTACAAAATTGTGTTATTGTATTCGAAGAGTGTTTAATACCAGAATTATGATCAATAGTATTTTTTTATATAAATATATCAATTAAAAAAAAAAATCTAAAAATTATAATAGCTATAAATAACAAAACGCGTCAGATTGTTTTAAAAATGTCAGGTCTCTATGATTATTTTTAACTAAGTTAATATAACATAAAAAAATCGAAAATGACAGAAACCGTTATTATAGATGTACGTTATGTTCTTAAATTTTCAAAGTTTTTCCAATTATTAAAAAACCACCGAGAAAATTGAAAAATGACCTCCTCTATGCACCAACTAAACAAAATTAGAACCATCACCGAAATTGATAATCGGAACATTCAAAGAAAGATTTTTGATAAATAAGTAATTAACAGACACAGAAAAATAGCACATATAATTGATTGCTAATCGATACGCTCAGAATCTAAAATAATCCATTGTATTCGAATATTCGATCGTATAAAATAAAATGTCTATAATGGAAAGAATACAAAACTTTCAAATTGTCACAAGAAATATATGTAGAAGGTACAATGAAAGAATCACCTTGTACACTATCATTTCTACACTAAATTATAATTTTAGAAAAACTTTAACCAACCTCGAAATCAAAAATAACTTTATACTTCTTGTAAGATAAATGTTATTATTATTATTTAACGTAGGAATATATTAAATAATTTATTTGTTCTTTTACATTTAATTTTGGCAAATGTTATCTACTCGTATGTTTACGAAATTATACGCAAAGTATAAATAATTAGTTACTAAAACATTTTTTTTTTTTTTGTACCTACTAATATTCTGATGAATGTTTGCCAAATGTCATTTATTAATCTTATTTAATTCTCGTTCAACAAAATGGATGGCAATATTCTTGGTTTTTGTTGGAATTTAAAATATTCATTTATCGATGACGAAAACACAATTTAATTTCACACGTATTTAAACATTTGTAAACCGAAATTTTCTTTGGTTCTTTAGAATTTCGTTAACACTTCTTTTCACTATATATACAAAATTATGATGACAAAAATCATGCCTACTATTTCATTCATTATTATCTTATTTGCGCAAAGATGAAAGATGTAATCATAATTATTATCATTATTATTCAATGTTAATAGGTAATTTTTTTGTAACTAAAATAATACTTAATTCGTATTCTTATTATGATTGATACTATACAATACACATAATTTTATAATTATTACTAATGTTTATTATCTATACAATATCTATTGGTACTATATAAGTTGATTACAATAAATACTAATGCAAATTTATAATTAAAAATTAAATATGTACTAGGTAGATAAGTTGTATAATTTGATAATTAAACAGTTTCTATACTTAATTATCTGTATAATTCCGTTTTAGACGATATAAAAACAATGAAATTTTCTTTATTATTAATTGATTAGACATTGATAAGGATATTGATAAGGTATCGTAAATCTGAAGTTGTTTATGATGTATTATGATATAAATATTTTTCTTAGTAAGAAATCTAGTAATAATAATTAGCGACAAAATATGAGTGCAGTTAAACGGATACGGCGTATGTAAACACACTTCTTGGGTTTTTAACAATGCGTACACTCAAAACTTTTTTACTTGAAACGCGAGTATACGTTCACAAAAACGCGTATATTTTAAAACTATGATTCACATATACGTCTTGTTTTAGATTCTGACTGGATCGAGGAATGTATTGGTGTTCTTTTTTTTTTTTCTGTGGACAACTTTTCTACCAACAATTTTGCTCCGATTTACAATGATGACATTTTTTTTAAAAGGAAATCTGACCAGAGAAGTACTTTAAAGAGGTCATTTTTGGATTGTCCCAGGAGTTTTCCCAATAAATAGGTAAAACTGGAAAACATGGGAAAATATAGGAAAACGGGAAAATAGGCATAACATTAAGCAAATATTATTAAAGAAAATATTTGATGCATATATAATTATTTTACCATAATATGAAATACATATTCTTGACAAAGCAATACCATTAACCGAACTCTACTCAGAATCGTTTTTTCATTAACAATGGTTTATCGTTCCTTATACAGATTACAGATATACATCAAATTTCCCCTATACTACCTTCTCAATTTCTTACCTATAGCAGTGGTTGCACCCGTTCCTATTATTCTAGGACAGCTTTATTATTAATAAATAATCATCATCAAATACCGTACATATATATACTATATCGATGTTTATTATTCCAACAACGATGTTCGAAAACAGACAGTGACCTTCTTCTTTTTATTCCAAAATATTGCTTATGACTATGGCTTAGAATTTAATACTCTAAAAATTACTAAATATACATGCATTTATGCGTTTAAAGAACTACAAATATGCTTTAAAAATATGCACTTAAAATTTTGTTTTTTTCAACATAATATAATTGAATTCGGACAAAAGCTATTAGATAAATATTTGAAAAACACAATACAATAATTAGCTTAAAAATGGATTAAATGTTTCAAATATTCTTTCATGTCTAAAAAAACAAATATAAGTTTCCTGTCAAAATGTAAAGTCTTCATGAATATTTTAAACTAAATTACATTAAAAAAACAAAATTGAAAATAATAAAAGAATTATTTTCATACATTTTCCCATACTTTCTGAATTTTTTTTTGGTTTTACTCAATTATTAAGAAAACTACAAAGAAAATCGAAAAACGACTAACTTAATCACTATTAGATTAAAAATTCACCAAAAAAGACCTCTTAATGTTTTTTTATTGGAACAATATTTATAGTAATATCATAAGCCATACAAATTTAAAATAATGAAATTGTTTTACCGTAATTTGGAAAAGATAGTTTATTTCCTCTTTTTTGATCTTTACCAAATATTATAAAAAATACTTTAGATATAAAAAAAACGACTTTCTTTATCAGTGGCTATGCTATGTAAGAAACAAAATCAATTTCTTGTCATTTTTCGATTGGAATAATATTTATGATAACATAAGTTGAACAAATTAAAATAATTAAACCGGGATGCTACTACGTTGCCGTAAATATTAATAAATTTTAATTTTTTGGTTTGTTCCAATTATTAGGAAAACTATTTTGGATATATATCGAAAAACAGCTTACTCTGTCAGTGACGAAATGCCATAAGGAACAAAATGGATATCTTTTCATTTTTGGATTGGAGCAATATTACTGGTAAAAAACATCGTGTTTAAAAATAATGAAAATGTTAGGTTAGGTTTTATAATTTATTAGGAAAATTCGAAAAAATTACCTCCATAAAGTACCTCCTCAGTCAGATATCCTTTAAAAATAAAGTGCTATCATTCTGAATCTGAGAAAAACTGCTTGTTGAAGTCGTCTACAGAAAAAAAAAATAAACATTGTAATGTTGACGTTCATTTTTTTCACCCCTATTTTGAAGGTGAAACCACTACTTATCCACTACCCAATATGAAACCAATGATTAAATCTAATATAGTATGTGGTACAGATAACTAATTAAACAAATATTATTAAAGATAACGTGTAATGCCTATTTAATTATTTTACCATATTGTTGACAAAGCATCAATATCAACTGAACTCCGCTCAGAATCATTTTTTCGTTAGCAATGGTTTATCGTTGCTTACAGATAGAAATTAATTTCTCCTATGTACCCTACATTCCCTACTCTTCATCAACAGTGGCTGCACCCATCGTGCGAAGTATGTCCGTCATTTTTAGGTCATAATAAGCTCATGGGAACTATAAAGCACAGTGACTCAACTCAACAGTGTAATGCAAAATTACAATTTAGATAAATAGATTATCTTATCTTTACTTGTATATATGAGTGTCAACAATAATTTTGTCTGGAGTCAAGGTTTATCTGATCGGTAAAAACATAAGAAATATTTATTTTTATTTGTTTAGAATGAATGTTAATCTACATTTTTATCGAATTTTATCCATTCCTATACAAAAATTACTTAAAAACATAAAAATGCCCTAAAAATATCAAAAAATGCAAAAAAAAAGTTACATTTCTTAATTCCTTGATGTATGAAATGAACTTTGTGCTTGGAAAGCAATGTTTTCTGACATTCAGAAAAAAATGCAATTTGCATTCAAATCCATTCCCTAATGATTATATATGATAAGTTATAGACCACGAATCAAGATAATTAATTTGTAGTATAGACTATTAAATAGGCGTAGAGCATGTGCGTAGTATGCGTGCTAGCGGACAACATTCAAACTTTTTGTGGTATACAATTATTAATGAAAATAGTAAATTAATCAAAAATGTCTTTTTTATGGAATTAATTTACTTATAACTAATGTAATTAAATATAATAATATAATAATTAATATAATGCGTATAAAGGGTTTATTTATCCCATCTTTGCCTTCAAACTGTTTTTGTTTTCTGCCAATGATATAATATTTATTAGGTACCTATAAAATAGTAAAATGAGGTTTGTTATATTGTTGGTTGTACAAATACTTATAGAAACATGAAAAATGTTTTCATGTTTCCTAGTAAATCACATGGCATTATACAGAAAAAAAAATGGATTCAAGCAGTGAAGTGGAAAAGGTATGTAGGTATCTAAAACTAATACTCTTATATGTTGAATAAAATCCCCTTGTAGACCTTATATTGTAACCTTGTGCTTACCCTTTTTTACTGTTGAGCTATTAGCTGGTATTTATTTAAATAAGTATGAGCTATTTCATGTAATTATGATATGGTATTTATATATTATGGTGACCCAAAATAATACAAATAATATTTATAATTTGAATAATTTATGAAGTTTTCTACTTGAATATTGAATGAAAAATTAACTTTCATTCATGTAATATGTGCTTAGTTTTAATTAAAACTGTATATAATTATAATCATTATTTGTGGTAATTATCTATTCAGTTTTAGCTCTAACAATCAACCATGAAAACCGAATCAAAACTCAAGAATATATAGTGAACATTTTATTGATGGTAAACCATCCAAACACCTAAATAGTCCATCATTCTATCTAACATTTCCTAAAATATACAAACATAGAATTCCAGTACACAAAAGTGAAAATCTTGTAATACAAATATACCTACTAATTTAGTAATATTTGATAATTTACCGGTATCAAATAAACTTGATTGTCCTGATGTAAAATACGTTGAGGATAAATCTTCTCAAACTTCTATGAATTTAATAAATAACAGTTTTGAATTTTCCTGTTACTTTTCTAATCATAATGTTAATACTCAAGCAAATAATGTCGGCTTAGATTCAATTTATTTTAAACCTAAAATGGTCGAAAAATGTGAAGATAGTGTAAACTATGATATCTTGTAATAGGGTAGATACATGTATAATAAAAAGTTACTTTTTTATTGTACTAACAAATAAAACATTATAATCCAAAAAGAACTATTAATTGTTTTAAGTAATATTTAAAACAAAAATTATTCATTTTATAAACACAATTCTATATAAAAATATCATCTCTGTTTTTATTAATTAAAATACATTTATACTTGCTTGGATAAATAAAAACATCACAGTATTACAAACCACAGCAGTACGTCAAAACTTGGCATAGAGTATAATAAATGTGTTTTTTTTAATATAATAACTCCATTACTATCTTTAATTAAATATTTTTATAAATCTGTGGACTTTACCGTAATTACGAATTTGTGTTTCGCCACAGATGTATAAAAATCTAGTGTTTTACATATTTATGGTTTCGCCTTCTGATAGTAGTTAGTAGGACATGAAGAGGAAAGGGAGGTCACATGTGTGTTATCACTATTATCTGTTGACAATGACTGATAATAGTTTTTTGATTTGAAAATTGTATGAACGTTAATTTGATCAGGCTACTTTTCATAAAATTCTTTCTCATAAAGTATTAAAGTACCTAGTCATTAGATACGTTAATTTAATATATATTTCGGTTTAATTTGTTCAACACTAACTGCGTCACTGCGTGCGTTATTGAAATACCAGAAATGGAAGAACCACTACTACCAGACGAAGAACTAGAGTTGTAAGAAATGTTAATAAAATAATAATATTTACCTATTTATTCATTTGTTTTTATTTAGTCAAAAAATTCAAGGGTTGGATTTAATATTAAAATCGGTAAATTGTGAACAATATAAATCCAAATTTGAAGATAATGAAATTAATGAACAGGCAATGCTCCTGTTAACAGAAAGTGATCTTAAATACTTAGAAATTAAAGACAAAGACTGTACTTCGATATTAAATGCAATAAATATACTCAGAAAAACAATAAATTCAACTGAAATAAAATTATCGTAAGTTAATCATTTTATATGTATAAGTTATATATTTTAACTTTTTATATAATTGTTCAACCCCTGTAATTGTTAGGTATTAAAAATATATCTATGTAGATATTTAACATTTTATTATTTATTTTAAGAAATGAAGATATATCAAATATACAATCAAATATTTGTGGACAACTTGGAAATATTGCTTTGATATTAAATCATATTTACTGTTCAATTAATAATGATAAAAATAAATTTGATGATATACTGATTGATGACTATCTATCATCAATTGATGCTGCATTAATGTTGAAACCTTATATGGAAGCTGAAGAAAAAAATATTGAGAAATCATTAAAACGTATTTATAAGGTACTATTATATTATTATGTACTAAATGTTTTTAAGTTATTATTCAATATGATAGATACCTACTGCTTTATACATTTTGCACATATTAACTATCAGATTTTAAACTCATACAAATTTTAAAATAAATACATGTACCTGGTTAAAAATAATACCTTTGTAATCTTGCAGTATAACGGCCAAATAAATTTTTAGTTTAAACAAGGTGTACACAAATAAAAATTGTAACTCTTAATTATATTAAAAAGACAATAATATTCAAAAAATATATAATGGTACCTACAGTAGAAAACGTTTATAATAACATTCAAGAGACTAGTTGAAATTAATCATAATAACTAATTGTCATTATAACCAAAATGATAAAATACCATCTAATAATTATCAATAAAATTAATAACAAGTTGTTTCAATATGTAGATAAAACGTTAATTTTGTATCAAAAACTATACTTAACTGCATTAATGAGCTTTGACCAACTAATATAGTCAAACACAAACTGAAGACGATACCTAAAGAATGACATAGTAGTGCATTTTGAAATATTGAGATGAAGATTAAACGATGGGAAAAAACTGGATCAACAAAACACGGCTTATTATTATAAACAGAATTGAAGTGGTTTGAAAAAAAAATTTGCAGAATTAGCCATGTTTTCATTAGATTGGTTATTAAAACGAACTATTTTAGGAATTTTTGTTTTTTTAGTTGAAAAGTAATAAACTATTAAAACTAAACACTACAATTTTAAAAATCATAAATTAAAGAAAAACAGTATCATTAAATTAATAGTAGTATTATGTTTTATTAATTAAAAATAAATAAATATATCTTATCTCTACTAAAAAAATTTGAAAACCTGTCCGGAACTTCAAACAACGCCCCTCATTACTCCCTTTAGTTAGTTATCTAGATACATTTTCCTCAAATGAGTCTGAATCTGCTGCTTTTTTTCTCTCCAACCACTTTTTTCGTTTTCAAATCCCAACCAACAGTACCTCTCTTTATTGATGTATATTCTAGTCTCCCCTATAATATCTCATTCTCCCCGGATGACGTTTTTAAAGCCACTTACCTCTCTTTGTAATGTTAATTTTCTTAGTCTAGATCTAATTTTTGCATGCTTACTTTATAACTGTCACTCCGCCCTCTTTTTTTCCATATATACTCTCTTTAGATACTCAGTGGATAAAGGTGTTTTTACTTCAGCTTGGAAGACTTGTTCCGTAACTCCAATTTTTAAATTTGGTGATCCTTCTGCTGTTGTTAACTACCGTCCAATATCCATTCTACTTCATCTGGGGAAAATCTTTGAATTTATCGTTTACAATTGTATTAAACGTAGCCTGAATCATATAATTATCCCACAACAGCATGGTTTCCGGCCAAGGAAATCCACTACTACTTGTAGTCTCTCATTTAATTTGTTTATCTCTGACTGCATTGAAAATTGCTCTCAAGTTGATGTCATTTTGGCTGATTTTTCCAAAGCCTTCTATTCTGTAGACCACAACCTACTCTCTAATGAACTTATGAATTTAGGAATTGGTAATCCACTTTTGGCTTAGCTAATTTTTTATTTCTTGGACAGAAAACAATTTGTTAAAATTAATAATACTCATTCTGATATAGTGGAAGTTCCATCTGGGGTTCCACAAGGTGGGCATCTTAGTCTCCTCTTATTCTACATATTTGTAAACTTTGTCTCTGCTAATTGAAAACAGGTAAAATTCTTACTGTATGCAGATGAATGATTTTTATTCCACAAAATTGACTCTCGTTGATTACCAAAATTTACAAGATGAACTTGATTCCTTTTGTCATTGGGTCACTAACAAAGGCTTAACTCTCAACTTGAGTAAGTGTAAAGTAGTTATTTTCTCCCGATCCCATTCACCTCTAATTCACTCTTATTTTTATTATTCTTCAACTCTTTCCTTTGAACACCATATTAATATTACTGTTAGTAGAGCATTAAAAATACTTGGTTTCATTAAACATAACACAAAACTATTCAAATCGACACAATATCTCTGCATTTTTTATTTTTCACTTTTTAGGCCTCTTCTTGAGTATGGTGTTATTATATGGCACCCATTTCTGCAAGTAATCAATTAGTATCAAATGCACTAATTCATCGTTTAATGAGTGTATCTAATATATACAATATTGATCCTTTTGTTAAAAATTTTGTGAATTTAGCTCTTAACTGTGAATAATAAGATAAACAATTTTTATTTTAATTAGACAATGTGTCCATATGAATTATATGAATAAATAAATTATAAATTAAATTTATATTTATTTATCATATTTATTCACTAGAAACTAATTAACCATATAAACCAACTATCCCTATCCTAATTTATGGTCTACTACTCCCCCCCTCAATTCCAGGTATAAAAAGTATCATATAATATGATAATGATAAGGAATTGTACAATAAAAGTTTTGTCAAAACCTTCAATAGGCACATTTTTGTACCATACATACATACAATTTCATCTCTTTAGCCTCATTTGGGAGCTCTGTAGGTGTGTACAAAGTTAAAAATATACTATCCTACTGCAACAACATAGGCAAGTTTATATTGAAATTAAACTAAAATTTGATCACTTGAATCTGCCTGTATAAAAAAAAAACTCTTAATTCTCAAGTTTGAACTCATTTGGTCCCGAGGAAGCTACTAGAAGTATTCAAATGTCTCAGAGAAATATATATATCTATAACAACACATACTATTTTAGAGTTAAGAATTTTTCAATTTTGAAATATGCAGTTTGAAAATAATGATACATTGAAAATTTAATTTAGCAAATTAAAAACTAAATTATCTACCAAATAGTGTTGTAAAATATAAACATTTGGAACAAAATTTATATACTACCTACAATGACCAAAAATATTATATTTTAATATGTCTGTATCAATATAACTTTTTAATATATTCATACATTTTTACATTTCAGATTAAAAATAGAAGATCCATATTGATTACTACAACAGCGTGTACTTTATTACTTTTGGGTGTAGGTCTTACAATTCGATATTTAAACAAACCATGAGACTCTATTTATTTATTTTCTAATTGGATCTCAAAACATGATTTGAACACTATGTTAAATAAATAGAATAGAATATTAACAATATTGTATATTTATCAATGAACATGTAATTTGATTGTGTTAACTAAATATTTTAATAATAAATTACATTCCAAACTATAAAATTAAGCTATTTAATTTTTAAGTACAATTTAAAAATATCAACATATTAATTAACATTTTTTTATATATATATGTATTAAACAAGTATTAAATTTTGTATTTTTCATTTTAAAAATTTTCTTTTAAAATGTGTCTTAAAATATACAAAAAGAAATGGATCATTAATATGTTTTAATAAATATAATATATTGGATTAATAATAATTTTATCATTAATTATTATAGAGTCTGGTTAAAGGGTAATACTTAGTGTAAATTTGTATTTTAAATCATATCAAAGTCCCTAGGTAAGTCTTATCATTTTTAAATATTTATATACTTAATGGTACTTAATTAACAAATTATTAAAACCGAAATCCATAGAAAATCTACAAAAAACTATATGACATGTGCGTTATGCCGTTATTGTAGGTTTACCCCCTGTTAAGTATAAGATAATATAATAATATTAACAAAGGACCCCCTGCCAAGAGAACACATTGAGTCCATATGGCAATGAAATAATAATATAATATCGTGTGTGTACCTATATATACATATATGTATAAATATATTGTTTATAATATATGAAAACAAAACGAGACGTATTATAATATTATTGTTGTATTTATTATTATCTGTTACGATGATGTGCACGCGAGTGTTTTCCATTCGTTTGCAGATTTACTACAAATAATATCCCGGATCTGATGTTTGTTAACCTTTTGATGAAAACAACCATCGTCATCATTTATGAACATAACACGGTAGCGAATGGTACCCGCATATTATAATTAATAATAATTTAAACTGTAATTTATTTCTCAACCAATACCTGCTATACCTATGTGCAATGAAACACCACGTCACGTATAACGACAATAACAGTACGATACAAAACCGCGATGAAGACTCGTCGTTCTCTTGCAAGTAATAATACAATATTGTAATATTTTATGGATAACTAGTGTACCCACTCATAATAATATTTTGTTTTATTATTGTTTTTTGTCTATAAACAACTTTTTAAAAAGAAAACTTGCTCCGATGTATCAAGTTGGTATACCTCTTTTTCTGAAAGAAAATGTTATCTAGTTATTAATACATAAGAAAGGTCACCTTTTGATTTTCCAAAGGGGTTTTCAAAATAATTGGGGAAAAACTCGAAAGCAAATAATAGGAAAACGGCAAATATTTACGGCCCGCCGCGGCGTTACCGTTGTCATTGTTTTTAGTTTCTGTAACTTATGTTTTTCGCCAAAATTAATGCTCCAATACTAAAATGACAATAGATCGACTTTGTTCCTTTTAATGTATAGCTTCTGATGAAGGAAGTCGCTTTTTTATATCCAAAGTAGTTTTCATAATAACTAGGAAAATCCAAAAAAGTCGAAAAATACGTTTATTTTTCAAATTATGGTACAATTATTTCATTATTTTAAATTTGTACGGATATGGTATAAAATATACCATAAATATTGCTTCAATAGAAAAACAACATGAGACCTTTTTTGTTGCATTTTTAGCCAAGTCGGTGAGTAAGAAAATCGTTTTTTGATTTTCTTTGAAGTTTTTTAAGCAAACACAGGAAAATGTACGAAAATAATTATTTCATATTTTAAATTTGGTTTTTTTTTAATGTTATTCAGTTAAAAATATTCGTAGAAACAGTAAAAATGTCAACAAAAAAATTTACATTTTGCTTTTTCTAGAAATGGTAAAATTTTCAAAACGTCGAGTCATTTTCGGGTTTATAAATATTTTTAACTTTTCGAGTTTTTTTACATCATTTTTGTGGATAAAATTGTTAGACTAAACAGAAATGCTTTAAAATTTGACAAGAATTTTTCATTGTAAGTCGTACTCGGTGGTTAAAAAAAAAATTGTAAGTGTTTAAAAATCAAATTTTGATGAGAGTCGTAAAATTACAGTTTTTTAAAACATGTATAACTTAACTTCGCTCCAAATCGTTTTTTTTTGTTAGCATTGGTTTATCGTTGATTACATGTATAAATTACATAACTATGTATCCCGCCTCCTCAGCTACCCACTTATAACAATGGCTGTACCCGTTTCTAGCATCAGATTTTTATTTTTTTTCTACCTATTATTGGCCTATCGTAGATACGAGTTCACGTCATTATTATGACGGTCGTCGATCATTAAATATATAATATGTGGTTTTATATTGTTTTATTATATAGACACAGAGAAAAGAGTTCAGATAAAAATAGACGACACCATGACGACATTTTATTCTATTTTGATATAGCGCAGCTTACATTTTAAAGGGATGTTATATGACTATAGAATAAAACTCGATTAATCCTATACTATAGCAATCAAAACTTTTATACCAAATGTACTTTATAAAATACATACTTAGGCAATTATAAGTATATGAATATGAATTTATGAATGTCGATTCTATCTTTGTATTAATATTATTATAAAACACTGTCTACTATAAATGTATGTTAAATTAATTTTTATTAATTTCACCTGCAGATGGGAAAATTGTCATTTGTACATGAACAAAACAGAACTATCGAAACACGTTATAAACCACATAATCCCAGAACCTCAGGGGTTATTTTATTGTAAATGGATAAGCTGTACGAGAGGAGACCGAGCTTTCAACGCCAAGTATTACCTATATATTATGTTATTTTCTGAAATTTAATTTTTAATTATTAGATATATTTTACACATATACGTAGAAGCTATAATGAATACCTTTCTATATAAATCAATTTTTTTTTTCTGATTTTAGGTACAAAATATTAGTTCACATACGCACACATACAAACGATAAACCGCATCAATGTTATACGTGTGGGAAAAGCTTTACACGAGCCGAAAATCTAAAAATTCACGCTCGTTCGCATACAGGTAAGCGTACCTATCACAATATCACATTTTTGTGTTTATTTTTAATTATCAAAACAAGGACTTCATACATCTGAAATAATACATTTTACATAGCTCAATATTTTACACCAAAATACCAAATGTTAAAAACGACTGATTGATTTGAACAAGATGACGATTTTTTTCTTTAGAATATTTTGTTGAATCGCACGGGCCGTGGTGTCAATAACTACCGTGTGACTTATATTACTAGTTTTGCAGTGAAGTCTATTTAGAGAGATTTCGACATTTGTTCTGGTATTATTTTTAACCAATAGCTTAAGTCTTGAGCGTTTGGTTATGATCTGTGTTGCTGTGTCTGACAAAATGTCAAAACACCGATAAATACTTCGTAAACTTCGTATAACCTATCTGTTGTTAGTAAGTATGTCTTCACAGATAAGTGGTCGAATTTTCGATTTTCCTGTTTTCTGATCTATTTTTACGACTTTAAAAATATATTTATAACTAGTAAATTACAAGTCTGAAATTAAAATCTTCCTATGAATAAGGACAAATATAATTCGAGCAAAATAAAATAACTTATTTCCGTATATGCAGTCGGATAATTGGTCACCAACGCAAAGTAACTAAAATAAAAGTTTATTTCTATACTTCATGGCTTTATGGTTACGATACTGACTGTATTATTTAAATAATTTATAATGTATTCGATCCGTTAATGTATACGAAAAATTACTAAAGTGTTGTGTTTTCGATATCTGTTAGATTGGAGCATATTCACCAAATTTTCTGACTAAAAACGAGAAGAGGAGTTAGGCATTTTATTTTGCTTGAATATTTTGCTATTCGTTTAATATAAGTATTTCCGATTGTCATATACTTTCAACGAAACATGGATACATATTTCATGGTAATTACGTGAAATCAACATTTTATTTAATTTTAAAAATTAAAAGTTAATATTCACGAAATCAGTTGAAAAACAGAAAAATTACCACAGATTAGTTTTTTGTGAGAGCATACTAACAAAGTGTATAGGGACTAGATGACATAGTTTTTGATGTTTTCAAACTCAGACCCAACCAAAATATTGACTCGAGACTACAATTGAATAATAAAAAATAATGATACCACTGAAGCCAAGAATAGATTTGGTTAAAAAAAAATATATATATACAGAATTCATTTTAAGAATTCTGTGAAAGAGCAAACATGAAAAAGGCTCCGCCTTATTGTATAACCGAATATTATACGTAATACCTAATGACAATTTTGAGTTGAAATATATATTATAATATATTATGGTCTCGGGCAAATGGAATAAAAAAATACTCGTCCGTCCCGATTGTTTCAGTCCTACTTAATACAATATAGGCTCGTGGTTCCTGTGGCGTAGTTAGGATTATGTCAATATAAAAGAGACATTGAATTCAAAAATCCTAGGCTGAAAATAAAATTGGATTTTTAATATTTTACTTGTAGTTCCGTAAGTAGTTTATAATTCAATCTGCCCTAAATTTATCAATGATATAAAATAAGTAATTATTTACTTTGTTTATTATTTAAATATCTATACAAACGTCTTCGGTGGGGGTTTGTTTTAAACGAAAAAAATGTATACGTTTCGGTTTTTTCGATATATTAACTATACGGATAGGCAATAACACATTAAATCGTAATTTTTTTTCTACCAAAAATCATAGCGATTTGAATTTCGAAAACAGGTCGTCGTATGAATAAAATAAATTGAAATAAAGGCCGCGGTGGGAGATGAATCTCCCCAAAATATCTATCTCTCTCCCCCCACCCCCTGTAAATACTCGACCGCTGCGGCCCGGCCTTGCCAATACCGAACGTCAAATTTAACTGTCGAACGAACAGAATGTATGCGCCGCATTATTATTATTATTATACACAAATCGTATCATCTGTCTATAATATACCTGCGTTACACGCGCAATACGATAATATCGTAATATCATTACGCGACGCATTGGGTTATTGTACATTAACAATCGCAATAATATAATATACTATGCCGTACTTGTGATCGTGTAACCAATGAGCTTTGCGATTTAATGAAGGGGAGAAACCGTACGTCTGTTCGGTGAACGGATGCAACAAGGCGTACTCGAACACGAGCGATCGTTTCAAGCACACCCGAACGCACTTCATCGAAAAACCGTACGCCTGTCGCGTGGAAAGCTGCCTGAAAAGGTATACGGACCCGAGCTCGTTGAGAAAACACACTAAAAGTCACAGCCATCAAGTGAAAATGGTAATGGGTACGTGTATATTATTACTGTATAGTATAAATTATTATTATTATTATTATTATTATTATTTATACCTAAAGCTGCAACAACCACTCGTCAGCAAATAATAATTGGGAAGTAGGTAGACACTTATAGGTACTACAACAACGAAATTCAACATCGTTAGTTGTTACTCGATAATTGTTATTCAACAAACTACAACATAAAAGTTGTATACAGTGTGTTTCACTCAAATGGTTCAGAACGAAATATATCAGATGGAAAGACTCGGATTGGAATGTACTTGTATTTTAGTAAGATCTTGGGGTGTTTCTAAATACACAAATTGAGCCTATTTTTACAATTTTAACTCACGGTGTAGTATGACAAAACTAACATTTTCTTAAATAGGAAAAATATTTTTGAACTTCGGATTCGAATAGTCCCTATCTTTGGAAAACAAATTGGGGATGTCATTTTTTTATTTGCATTGTAATTCTTTGAGTAGTACAGAAAAACCATAAAAAAAAACCGTTGGAAAATGAGAAAATTTCAGGAATAACGATTTTTGTTAATTTCGATTTTGTTTTTTTTATTGTAATTCGGTTAAACAGAATTGTATAGGGACCAGAAATATTCATCAAATATACTTCTACCTTTTGAAATATTTATAACCGTTAGAAATGTTTGGGCTTTTTTAGTTTCTATTTGTCTTTATATGGATAAAATTGTTTTGACCTACAACAAAAATAATACAAAATGTATACGAGGTTCAGCATAAGTTGTACTTAATGGTAAAAAAAAAAGTTGAACGTATAATGTAGTATTTTTTTTACCTAAAAAAAGTTTATAAAGTTTAATTTTTGAAAAAAATCATACAATTCACGGAATTTCAATAAAAAGTTTTTCTTGCTTTTTAGTGTTTAGATAATAGATATTTGTTAAGTTTTTTCGGGTCTCGTTTTTTGTTAAGGAGCTCGTGGATTACTGCAGGCTTCTTAGCGTCCTAAATCCAGTAGTGTATATAAAATTAACAAGTGGTCACATACTACTGTTATTACAATATTCTTATCATTGTATACGCTATATCTGTGATAGTACCTATATAATATATCTAGCCGAAAACCCAACTATCTTAGTTTTGGACGATTTGTAATTGTTCTAAATAATCATAAATAGGTACTTACTATCTATAAATTTATACCTGAGATAATATAATAGTTTAGTATTTTGTTAGCATAAATGTTTATTGATGATTTACTAGCCCAAGATACGAATCAATATGGTTCTTCGGCGATCTTCGTAACTCCTAGTCGTCGACCTACGTATTCCATTTCCAATAATACCGCTGAACAACCGTTGGACTTGTCGGTTCGCTGGAAAAATATATAATGAAACTTCGAAGTAGTATTAAACATTTTACTGTCATTGTAAATTGTATTGTTTATAGTTTTATTTTTTTATAAATATGTTTAATGTAATCGTGTACATGTGTATTTGAAAAATATTATAACATCACTTTTAGATCTTTAGAATGTCTCTATTTATTTATCCACGAATACATTTATATAATATTATTATAATATAATGTTTACGGTACCGCCGCGGCGTGTCTGTAATTATTCACCGTTTTACCTATAATATTGTTTCCGGTGTTTCCCAATTATTTTGAAAACGCCTTAGAAAATCAAAAGATAACCTCTCTAACGCACTAAATAGGTAAAATTTCCCATAAAAAAAATTGCTATACTTGATACACCGGAACAAGTTTTCTTTTTGAACATTTGTTCATAAACAGAAAAAATGTTTTAAAAAGAGTTGCCACACGTAAAAATCGGAGCAAGTTTACTAGGAAAAAACGTGTCCACAGACTAGAAAAAAAAAAAAATAATAATAATAAACAGCGTTGTAAAACCAATAGCTCCCTCGCTACGATAGGAATCTAAAATCGGGAAAATGGTGCGAGGGGTTCGGAAGATGAGTGATGCAAATGTGGTCACTCGTCTGCCTATAACAATACTGACCGATCGTATAATGTCGGGTAGTCCATGATTGAAAATTCTATAAAAAAAAAAAAAAAATCTCTTAAGAAGTCTTTGATTAGAGCAATTAATCTTATGGTTAAATACCGACGACGGTTTTCGATCATCTGGAGATTATTCCGTCCCAATACTAGAAGAAGTACAAGGAATTTGCAAAAATCGTCCTTTTTAAAGTGTATACCAAGGAGATTCAACGTTTTACAAAAAGCTCTCGTCCCTGACGACAAGCAATAATCGTCATAAAACGAATATAAAACGCCATATCCCACACAGCGAAAACATATTTCCATTATACGAACAAAATATTTTTTAGGAAAATTGTATATAGTTGTCAACATATTTTCGATTATTGTTAAATGATTTTTGCCCAAACAGTTCATGTTTGGAAAATGTTCTAGAATAACATTCACCAAACATTTTAACCCAATATTTCTAAAACGTTCAATTTCCCTGTTGTCTTGGAAACATCATACAGATATTTAGAAGACATGTTTATAAATCGCTCGACAAAATATTTTGTTATCACAGGAATAAAAAATATCTATAGAATGTTGTTAGTGAAACAATTATTATTTAACCACTTCGAAATGTTTATAAAATATTATCATTTCCCAAATGCTGTGACGCCGTACGGGATCACAGCGGCGAACACACGGGGGGTTCGATTTTCGTCTGCGGCCCGTTTCGTCGGCGAAATTGTAATATCGTGTGGGAAACACGCCGGACGGGTCGCGGAAACGGCTCGACTGTTCGATATTAATTCACGCGCCGTCGTCGAGACCTTTGTGCAGCAATTACACGTGCGTGGATCTCGGGCGGATTATGTGAACGCGATGACAGTGTAATTACCCGAAACGCGCGCGCACTACAATATACCTGTACGCAACATATGTATTACGTGAAACACGCGGATTAGTGCTTGTCGGCGTATGCGCGTGCCCACGATCCGTCCCCGTCCGCGCGGCCGTCACCGCCAAACACTGTACTTTTGATTTTGCCGGAAACGTAATGTAATACGCAGTAGACGACGTTGTACACTAATAATGTGTACAGGGTCTTTCAAATGTCGCGTGACCGTTAATATGGTACGCGTTTTATTTATTTCCTATATATAATACGGTGGCTCGGCACGCACAAATCAACCCGGCTAACAGCCGTACTACGGAAATTTGAACGTGCAACGAAACGTGTAATTATGGGATGAACGTGATACGATTGATAACATTCAACGAATCGTCATATACGAGGTGCTACGGTGACATTAACAATATTACCTGTGGCTCGGTGCAAGAAGGGCCGATGTCACATTTCGTTGGGAAACGGGCTTTGAAATTTCGATTCCCCGCAAGGCTCTGTGTATTTTATTAAACGTAAATGTTTGCGTGATTTTCAATTTTTACAAAAACTTAAACAATTTTTATTTCGAAAATAAACAATTGTACACTTTTTCTTTTTTCATATTTCTAACTGATTTTTCCAAAAAAATCGACACCAACAGTGTATATACTGTTTATTTTTTAATCAGTTACACTGGGGTCGTATAAGCTGTATACCGAGATCCATAGTCCAATTTACTGCTTCTGGGATCACTGAATGCAGTCTCTCAAATCGCTGCCGGGCTGTGTTTTCTCCTCTAACATTCTATTACAATACGGTTCACTGTTTGTTCCCTATTTTCACATTTACATTCACAATCATCTCGAAACCCCGATTTATGTAAAAGAGCTCACATCATCGCCACCAGTCCTGTGTACCCGGTCTGTTATAACCGCCAACAGGCGCTATTAGATAGGCTTTATCTTTAGGACTCCGTACCACATTCCCTTTGTCGTTTCCATAGCGCTGTCAAACTCTTCTCTTCTCTCTAATTGTTTGGTTGTCGCTTACGGTAGGTTCATGGATTTCAATTGCAGCGCGGGTAGCGCAATCAATGTTTTGCACATCCTTTACAGGATTTTTCGAACGTAGAATACTCATACTCCGTACATATAGGCTTGTGCTTTAGAGTCTGAAATGCACCAGCCGGCTTTGATAAATGTTATATTATTTTTATTGGACAAACCTTCGTCTGTCGTATTATCAGCGAATTCAAAACATATAAATAGCTCTTGAATTTTATTAATGGTCGTTTCTGTGCCCATAAAACGTATCATAACCGATAATAATTATTGATAATGATCAACGTCAGGTGTGAAATCTAACAGAATTGAATAATATTTAGACCGTTTTATTCTATAATAATGATTTCAAACTTTCCTTTTTAGCTATTCTTGTAATCGGTTAATTTTGAACACTACAAGATGAATATGATGTATGGGTATATGCTCTTTTAGTTCGATTCGTTTCGGGATGGCTATTTGAAATGTGATCTTTCAGCACAGGGTCAAACTTTCCCATTGATGTGGAGCCCTTAGTGTGCGAGCGCACAGCTTTCACGGCCCTGCGAATCTGGTACAATAATAGCGAAGCGTTTCAGATCTTCAGACTTCTTAATGGTTTTTTTTACGAGCGCCTCTATTATTTTGACAACACAATGTTGTACGACCATTATCATATTATTATTACCCACTGTCGTCGGTGCGCTTTTGGACGCTGCGGCGCTTAGAACCCAAAAACAGTATGAAACCCGTGAATATTTCACAGCGGAATTTACTTTCGTACAGTTCCGTGTACAATTTGGAATACCCTGTATGTGCACGCGGTGTGACCGTGCGAGTGTATTACGTGCCGCGGCGGCGTGCCGCCCGTTCGACGCGACGCCGCGGCGACGCGCAGAAAAGACATTTCCGAATCGCCCGCCCGGCGGAGCTTCGGTTACGGCGGCACGGAGGGACGCGTGGGGGGAAGCGGGCACACTTCGCGGGTGTTGTGGCCCGTGAACGATCGTGCGCCGTCGTTTCTTTGTGTACGCGCGCGTACGGGCGGGCGCCGTTCGCGCGCGCGCGCGCGCGCGCGCGTGTGTGTGTGTGCGCGTGTGGATCCAAACACGAGCAACCAGAAGCCGCCGACGCCGAGCGGATTATACGAAAATAAAATCCCCCATACGCCCCTCGCGAACCGACGCCTGTTGGTCCCGCGATTAACCGTCGTCCCGACGACGCACGGCGAACGGTCTTCGTAAACGCGGTTTCACTGTTCGTCGCCTGTATGTTTTTCGATTTTTTTTTTTTTTACTCCTTCTAATTTTCCCCCCGACTCCATTGTCTCGCGTATACATGTTTTACTGCCGTCTTTTGGCTCCGTCTCCGCGGCCGGTCTTGATCGTGGCGCGAAACGCGCGGCGACAATAACGGATTTACATCGGCCGCGACCTTTAATCATTTATCGTCGGCCGGTTCGTACGTCGCCAATAGCCGCCCGCCATGGTGTGAGCTTTACGTCCGCCGCCGCCGACAACGACAGCTCGGCCCCGGTGTTCTATTATTAAACGCGTCCGTCCGTCGTCGTCGTCGTCGCCGTCGTCGTCGTCGTCGTCGTCGTCGTCGTCGGTTAGCCCGGTGGTTCGCGCGTCTCTATGGTCTCGCGTACGTATGCCGTGTGTTATTATTAAATTATGCGTATGACATAAAACAATATGCACGTTTATTTATTCGGTGCAGGCGGGGAGAGACGGCCGGCATAACCAACGACCGCCGTCATAGCTGATATTGTAAAATTATATATTGACGTGCGTAACCCAATACGGCCGCGCGGATGGATAATAATTAGCAGGGACGCACGTACACACACGCGGTCCGATGCCCGGCGCCGTGATGATGTCGAACCCGAATGTGTACGCATCATAGGGGAAATCGTCGACCGAGTGACTGACGGCGACGGTGGCGGCCGCGTACGTAATAAAACTGTACGACTGTACGCCGCCGGTCGTCGCGCGTTACGCGGTAGTAGCGAGTGGTGCGGTATATAATCGGACGGGCGGCCAAGACGTGATCGAACCTTCCAAGCTGGCCCATCAGTTTTGGCTCGGTTGGGGTTCGGGCTCGGGCTCGTGCCGCGCGCAGACGGACGAGGAGAAGAAGGAGAAAAAGGAAATGGCCGAGGCGGCGGCCCGGCACGAGCTGTACACGCAACAACAGTGGGCCCACCAGCGGGCCGAACGTGCCGAGCGGAACGCCGAGAGACTGGAGAGGGAGATACAGAAACAAGCCGCCTCGGCCGCGGCGTCCGAGTCCCTCGCCGAGCTACACTACGTCGACAGCCTGTCCGGGTCCGTGCAATCCATGTAAGCAAGCGCGTTTTTCGTTTTATTTCGTTTTGCTCGACTACGCGTCTACGATAACATTAGATACAACCTATACAATAATAATTATACGCGCATTATTTTGTTACTATTATTTTATATATTTTTTATTATTATTTTTTTTTTTTTCTGTACACAAATAATGTCACGGGCGATCGCCACGTGATTATCGGCTGTATCGTAACGAAACGCGCGGTCACGTTAAAAAGGCACATCCGAAGACAACGGTTTAAT